GTGTGTAAATTGAATAATTTTTGTACGCCTTAAGACTGCATTATGTATTCATATAGTTCAGAATTGTGATCCACATCATCTCTGTAGAACACCAGAATTGATAATTAGTGCATTAAAAACAATATTCTGTTAATGAAATAGAAACAAATAAAAAAGGAACAAAAATAATGATGAAACATAAAAAAATATCTTCGGTACACTCCTCTCTTGTAGGATACGTCGTACATCTCAATCGTCAAAAACGGAAAGTAGAGATTTTTTTTGCATCAGATACTAGGTAGCTTCCTGTTTGATATCAGCTTAGACCTTAGAGACCACGGTCCGTATCAGACGAACTATCAGCCACGCCTAGAATTTAAGTAAACTGACTCAGCTCAAAGAGGCTTAACATGGGGTACAGATTTCTGCGATTTCTGTGGTTTACTTATTTTTTTTTAAGTACATGTATGAAGGATGTATCAAAGAAAGGTCACATGACAACTTATTTGGAAGGAAATGCGGTAAAACGTTTTGAAAGTTCCAAGGAATTGAATATTAGTATGTCGGATATTATGTTTAGAGTAATTTGTATGAATAATATATGTTATTTAAAAATACTTTTAGGTCTTGTCGATAGATAAAATAGATAGTTTGCCTTCAATGTACGGATTCAATTAAAACAGCCAGTATCGCAGTCAAATCCTTAGGAATTACGGATCCCGGAAACAAATACGATCTCATTAGATCTTGATGTCCTTGGCTCGGTTGTTTTACTCACTAGACATCAGTAATCCATGTAAATATTTTCAGTTTACTGTAAAAAGCTGCCTCTGGAGCCTTCACTTTGGGGAGTCAGGGGTTGCAGGGATGGAGCCTGCTTTGTTAAGTTCAACACCAATCCATTTGATCCGTCATTCAAATTTTTATCAAGGGTACGAGTTCTTCGTAGAACATTCACTGGTACAAACATGCAATAAGTATTGGAAACTCTAAAAGAGGTCAATATATTTTAGGAAATTCTTCTGAAAAGAAGACTGAATGTCAGATCTTTAGAAAGTTTATTTACGTATTTCTTCGTTAGTATGATAAGGCGCAAATTTACATCAAACTGCATGGAGATTGACTCACTTGGTATTAGGAAATATCAAACCTCAAATTTGATTGATAAATTTACAACGGGTTGATAAAATTTTAATTGCTATAAATTTGCACCAATGCGTATAACTACTAAACGCAAGAAAGATAACTTCAACCAGTTTCAAACTTCCTCTTTCTGCACTTAAGGTCTTGTAGAGAAGGCTTCTTCTGCCCCCCCCCCCCCCGACAACTGGCCCTAGAGTAGGGTCTCCCCGGAAAATAGGCTCTAGAGTAGGATTTCCCCCAGGGAAAAATGATTCTACATTAGGATTAGCCCTACAGAAATTCCACACCAGATTCAATTTTCTGAGGGGAAATCCTATTCTGTGTAATAGTGCAATTTCCTACAGAGCCGCCCCCTAAGATATCATGCCTTAACTTATAAATAGGAGGGGCGACACATTGTTACTAATTTTCCCACAAGCGATCTTGCAATAGACTTTACAAAAATTATGATAAAAAAATCTAGTTGTCCAATCAACATTTTAAAATTTCAAAATGGCGACCAGTTGAAGTGGGGAGGGGGGGGGAGGGGGCAGCCTCCCATAAAATTTACAAGCAAACAAAAAAAAAACCCAAGAAACACCCCCCCCCCCCGAAAAAAATAAATAAACTGCCTAAACTTTTCTAACTTTTCGGTTAAACTTTTATTAAATGCAATGACTTGCCCGAGTTTAACCATACTACAACAAAATGTTAAGGGACCAAGCAATCAATAAATGATTTTTTATATTTAAACTATAGCAAGACTATTCCCCCCCCTCCCCCAACTCGCATTCGTCCTACCCGTTTGAAAAGGAGTTATATCCAAAAATGGAGAGGCGTTATTTTAAAATAATAAATATATGAAAGATTGAACCAAAGCCATCTTTATTTATGCAATATTTAGATTATAGTTTTAATTTCATAAATTATATTATAAATTATAGTATTTTCTATATTCCTGCACATCTGACAGACAGCTGTTTGCATGCGTATTAAGATAAGTCAACACTCTGCTTTTGAAAATCCAGGATATAGGCAGAGCCAGCTTTGGGCTTTGCTAGCCATGTATTAAAAATTCATTAACGCCTTTTGGAAAGGCCTAAAACGCCTTTTTAAAAGGCGTAATAACGCCTTTTGGAAAGGCGTAATAACGCCTTAATGAAAGGTGTATTAACACCTTTTGGAAAGGCGTAATAACGCCTTTTGGAAAGGCGTAATAACGCCTTTTGGAAAGGCGTAATAACGCCTCTTTAAAAGGCGTAAGAGCGCCTTTTGCTAGCCATGTATTAAGAATTCATGTCAAATTTTGAAATATTTTTCTCTCCTCTTGGAAAAAAAACAAGCAAACTATTTGCATAGGTATAATGAGCAATTAGCCTTCAACCAAATTTCTGAAATCCATGCACCTTGGTAGAGGTGTCTGGCATCAGAGAAGGACTAAGTTAGTTTAACACTGAAAATATTTTATAAATTTAAAAATCTTTTTTCCTGGAAATCTAATTATAACCAGCCCTCAGGGTGGGCTAAAAAAGTCATGTATTGAAAATAAGAGGCGTAATAACGCCTTTTGGAAAGGCGTAATAACGCCTTAATGAAAGGCGTATTAACACCTTCTAGAAAGGCATAATAACGCCTTTAGGAAAGGCGTAATAACGCCTTTTAGAAAGGCATAATAACGGCTTTTGGAAAGGCGTAAAGGCGTAATAACGCCTTTTGGAAAGGCGTAATTACGCCTTTATTTGCGTTATTACGCCTTTTTCCGCTTTATAACGCCTTTTCAAAAGGCGTTATTACGCCTTTTTAATTTTTTTTTTTACCGTAGTTTGATTCTAATAGGCTTTCGTACCATTGAAACATATGAAGTACAAAGTATGAAAATGGAAAATCTCATTTTTCTCAGTAACTGTACAACCAATTCTTTTGAAGCATTAATGTCTTATTCTTTACTTCTGGTCAAATTGTGGTGTCTGCACAAAAAAAGTACAATGTAATCGGTTGGACATATTTTTTAACAGTAGCCATGGAAACAAAAAGGAGGATATTAATTTTAAATGGATTTTTTTTTTCTCCAATTATATTTCAAACTACATGTTGGACTGTCTCTCCAAGTTTCTGGGATTTAAATATCCAAAATAGCTGTCTTTGCCATTGAGCTAAAAATCGATTGATTTATCAAAATTTGAAATTTTGCAAAACTTTTAGAAAGTATTTGCTGCTTTCAAATCCAATATTTCACCTCTGGGGTCGAGGGGCTATACTTATGCTACGGCTTGTAAAAGCAGTGTTCTTGTTCTGTTTTAGGTTTTGGCAAATACTCACAAATCGGTTGTATGTGGAACCTATCAATAATAAATATATATTTTTAGAATTTTCTCACACACTCTTTGTAAAAAGCATAGATCCATAATTAAAATACTGGGCCGGTAGAGGGCAAACAAATTAAATCTCTTTAGGTGGCCTGAAAATTCGTGAACAAACAGCTATCACTGCGCGAGACATCGACTCTTTCGATTTTTTGAGTGACTAATTTGACAATTTCCAATAAAATAGGGGAAATCCTACTCTAAGAATAAAAGAAAGGGGTAATTTGGTGTGAGATTTCGAAATCTCACGCCAAATTCCCAGTTTCTTTCCTATTCTTTCCTATAGTAAACATAGATACTATATGTTGTGCCCCCTCAATTAAAAGGTCTGATGACCTTTTTTTTTTTTGTCAGGAAATTTTTGGTAATGCCTTTTCAACTGTCAATTGAAAATGTATGGCTTTGCCCCCCCCCCCCCCCGACTGATTTTGCTTCCTATGGGCCTGGCTAAAGAAAACAGCTACAGGGTATTCTACTAGGGTCACCCTCATTCTTGATTTTTCCCCATACTATATGCACGAATTGCTATTGAGCTTAACACTGTGCAACTCTGAAATAGCTCGTCACAAGCACTGTGGATCGATCCCCCCTCCCCCACTTTAAATTAAAAATTGTAAGAGCTTATAATATTTCAAAATATATATAAAATTTCGCCGTCAATCACTTCTGGTTGATTAACAGTGGTACAGTTTAAATCTTTGACCAATCAGATAAAGCGAAATAGATCTGCTCCAAAACCTCCTTCTAATCAGTCAATGGAGAAAATTTTATGTGTCCGATTAATAAATCGTCCGATTATGGCATATAAAACACTAATGATGGGATTTAGGTTAAAGAGACTAGTAGAAGAACATCTCCCTGACAGTATGATAGGTAATACTGTTATTACCTTGGAAATATCTCTCGAAGCAGGGACACCCCCCCCCCCCTTTGTTTATAAATTCTGTTTCTTACCTCGTGTATTTTTATCATACCTTACACTTGGCCATTCTCTAAACGTGAGAAAAAGTACAATCTGCTTGCATAGAACGACATATGGATGTGATTGACGGGGAAATGTCATGCTTCTGAGAAATTATAAGCTCTTACAATTTTTTAATTTAAAGTGGTGGGGGGGGGGGGGGGCTATTGATCCACACTTCTGTGGTCACAAGTAATTGTAAACACATATTAAACCAAGTATGAATTGAAATTGGGTACTGAGTTTATATAACGCTTAAGAACCATTTTAACATTTTTTTTTTTATTTCAATATTCTATTTTTAATACCTCACTTGAACAAAGTGACAACTAAAAAAGTAGAATATCATATTAAAATTTCTAGTATTCCGGCAAACATTAATTTTAAAATTATGATAGCGTATTAATTACTTGACGGAGGGTGTTGTGTTGTAAGCTAGGAGAGATGCTAACCCGACAAATATGAGAATTCCACTTTAGTAAGAAAGAAAAGGCAACTTCAACATTTTTTCCGCTGATTTGATAATGATAAAAATATGTTATTTAATACCCCGATTGTTGGCCTTCTAGTTTTTAGGTCAGAATTGATGTCGGTGAGTTGATATGGCGTTGTATGATGCCGTGGTCGTGGGGGCTGGGATAGAGGGGTCAGCCACGGCCTATAACCTTGCTAAAAATGGTCTGAAAACTCTACTTCTGGAACAGGTAGGTCTATCCAGCTCAGCCCAGGTGATGTTAGCTAGATCACAATAATACCACGTATGATTAATTTATTACCTGAGATTATGGAAGTCCTTAAAGGACACAGTGTCGAAACTCTTCATGAACTACATTGCCTGTACCTCCCTACGCAGCGTAAGATACACCAAACTACAAAAAATGAGCTAAATATAGCTATATCGTTGATAATCTAGGAACTGAAGGGACGAAGCGCAAGCTAAAGCTCATATAGTCATGTTAAATCTATATTTATCGGTTGTAAACTATAATTCATGAATGCCAAACCAAGTTTAAATGTTAATGACTGCATGTTTTTGTTGATAAATATTTTTTAAAACTGCAATGAGCATTTGTTGAGAGTCGATAATCATAGCTTCACCAATTGTGAAATTATATTATTTTATTATATAAACTATGTTTCTGTTAACTAAAGTTTAGAGATGTTAATCATATTTTACTAATCGTGAAACTGTATTTATCAGATATAACATTTTTTGTTCTGCAAACATTTTTCACTTTTAAGTTGTGAAACATTGATTGAGGCATGAACTTAGAGATGTTAATTAAGGTTCATTCTGATTAGATAAGAGAGATAACTCTATATAAAGAAATAAATGTCTGTTATTTCTCTATAGATTTGTCAAGTTTGACATGTCTTTTATGTTTCATTTTGCCCCGCAAGCTATTATGGTAGCATATTTCCCTCCAACACACTCACTTGTCAGATAATTATGTCGACTTGTCAGATATTTTTGTTAACTTGTCACTAACTCACGTGTTTAAAAATTCAACATGAAAATATGTCCACTCCAAGTTCTGGTCATCGGTGACAACATATTTTTCTGACAAGTCGACATAAGTATCTGGCAAGTCAACATAAAGATTTGACAAGTCAACTTAAAGATCTGACAGGTCGATATATCTCACAAGTCAACATAGTTTTCTACAAGTCAACATCATTATCTGACAAGTTGACATAATATCTGACAAGCCGACTTGTCAGAAAATTATGTCGACTTGTCAGAAAAATATATTTACTTTTTAGAAAATTATGTCGACTTGTCAGATATTATGACAAGTAGAAGTCAGTGGCTTTAACAGGTTGTAATAACAAGATACCGAGTTCTTGGTCGTGATTATTTGTATCTCACAAGTGCACATAATTATCTGACAATTTGACATAAACATCTGACAAGTCGAAATAAACATCTGACAATGGTGGCAGAAATATATGCCACCATAATCTATGATATAATAGTGTGTATTTACTTATAAAATACATTTCCTTTGGAAAATCATAAGAATTAAAGCAACATTTCATATGAGTGTGCAGAGGGTTTATGAACCTTAATTAAATATTGATTAACGTTCTTAGCTTTAATTGTTTACGATTCGTAAACTATTGTTTACCATTGATAAACCTAGTTATCAACTGTAAAATATGTTTAGCCTATTATGTCATATTTCTGCCCCCCTCCCCGATTTGTCAGATAATTATGTCGACTTGTCAGATTTTGTTTGTTTTCTTGTCAGATAATTATGTCGACTTGTCAGATCTTTTTGTTGACTTGTCACTTATTCCTCTGTTTAAAAATTCAACAAGAAAATATGTCCATGCCCGGTTTATGACATCAGGTGACGACATATTTTCTGACAAGTCGACGTAAGTATCTGACAAGTCTATATGAAAGTCTGACACGCCTACATAAAGATCTGACAAGTCGATATATTATTTGACAAGTCAACAAAAAATTATATCAACTTGACAGTAAATTGTCTACATGTCAGATATTATGATGACAAGTAGAGGTCAGTTAGTGGCTTTAACATGCTGTAATAACAGGACACCGAGTTCCTGGTCGTGATTTTTATCTGACAAGTCGACATAATTATCTGTCAAGTTCACTTTTTAAAATATCTGACAAGTTATAGCAACAAAAACATCTGACAAGTCGACATAAACATCTGACAAGTGGTGGCAGAAATATGACACCATATTAGCCCAGTTTTGTGCCATAACGTTGTAGTTTCCGCTCCCCCACTCGAGAGGGAGTTCGCATGGGCAGAGCAGAATTACTCGAGTAGCCTACGGGGAGGACGACCATTATGCCAACATGATGAAAGAAGGAGGTAAACTGTGGCGGGAACTCGAACGAGAGTCTGGATCTTCCCTATTTTTGTAAGTTATAGAAATGTGATAGGCTGGTCATCCAATGACCGTAATCAATGATACAGCTCAAAAAGTTCAGTTTGAGTATTTATGAAACACAGCTTTAGAGAATTAATATTTTACAAATTCAACATTTGAAGGACAAGTTATATATATTTTTATTTTGTTTGTAATGAATATACATATTTTTAAAATTTGATTCATATATACTAGTATACGTGAATAATAAAAGTGCATTTATATAAAATCACATTTACATGTAGAAACTGCGGTTGTCTTGCTGTTGGTACGCCGGATCACCCTTTCATCAAGGGTACTGTATCATCACTGACTCGGCACAGAGTAAACCACGACATCCTTAGTTACGAGAACCTGAAGACCAGGTACCCGATGCTGTCGTTACCCTCCGATCACACCGGAGTGTTGGACTACAGTGGCGGTGTTCTCATGGCAGATAAAGCCCTGCAGGCATTCCAGGTGACAGTTCCAATACAAATCACGAATCATTTGTTCTTATCTTTTCTTACAACAATCGTTTTAATTATTATTGCCTTCAATTTTTATTAATTATTCGTTATTTCTCTTGAATCTCAGCTTGTTCTGAATTCATAAGATTGCAGAGTACATGTACTTGCTAACAATAATTTTGCTAATTTCTTCACTTTTCTCTAGATTTAATACTGTAAAAGAATTATAAATGACAGGACATAAGAGGTTTCAAGTACAGCTTTTAAGGAAAATGATGTTCTTGTCAATTTTATTGGAGATGATAATTATGCTCGTATTTTTCTTCGTGCTGCCAGGAAAGATTTAACTATGATAATTTAATCAAAATACTAGAACCCGTGAGGCCTTAAAGTCCGTATCTTTTAATATTCTGTGAAAACTACCCGTATATACAAAACATTTACCGCTGAAAATATGTATGTAGACACCCGATTAATCGGATATAGTGGACGTGTTATTTTGAGAATTCTGCTTTCCCTTGAGAGCCTATCATCCCCCTCCTACTTTTTGTTACAACTGTGTACGTAACTCTGTTGAGAGCCTTCAGCGGCAATTCTGTTTTATCATAAAGAAAACTAATGCTATAGATATGCCGCAGTTTATTTTGACTTTTAGAACATGTACGTCCAGTATGGCGGTGAGTTGCGAGACGGCGAGAAAGTGACCAAAATTATACCGAATTCTGACGTCACTGTTATTACGTCAAAAGGACAGTACAAAGCCAGAAAGCTCGTTCTCACTGTTGGCCCTTGGGCAACAAAACTCCTGCCTCAACTTGGTATACGTATTCCACTTGAGGTAAAATTAACTTCGTAAATTTTTTAATAAGCAATGTTTTATCATTCTATAATCGAAGGGGTGTATACATGTAGTTTCTGGTTTGGCTGTCCATTTGTCTGTCTCTCTGTTTGTCCGCTAATACTTTAACCTTGCTTATAAATTTTGCAAGGTTTGTGCTAGAGCTTTGTAACAAAAACTTTCTTTGAGTAAGAACATATTTACCACTTGACCTTGGAATTTGAATTTGACCTACTTTTGCTTAATTTAACCAAACTTTAACCTTGGCTGTAACTTTCGAACAGTTGGTGCTAGGGCTTTTATACTTCACATGTGTATTTCATGCGAGACCTTTAAGCATTGTTGCTGTTTGTCTCTACACTATGGTGACATATTTTCGCTCCTATTTATGATGGTCTGCCAAATAAATGTTGATTTTATGATTTATACGCACAATCCTTTTTTTTAATTATTTTTTTTCTAATCATGCATACACTCCACTTATTTGAATATTTGTGTTACTTTCTTGTTTTTTTTCAGGTTGTACTTATTTCTGTACTCTACTGGAAAGAGAAAAACAAAGGAGAATTTTCTTCTGATCGTTTTCCAGCTTTCATCCATGATGGAGAAGACGTTCATGTTTACGCACTCCCTAGTCTAGAATATCCTGGACATGTCAAAGTATGTAAAATATCGCTGCAGGAAAAAAAAATCCTTCTTAGCTGAAATTTTTTTTTCGCTGCAAAAATAACTTTCATATCTTGGTCCATTACATAAGAATATGAAGCGTAACTATAAACTGAAATATTAGAAAAGTGGGTTTTTTTTGTTTTTTCTTTAATTTTCCCGACGAAAGTCAAATCGATTTGACGCTAACATTGAATTTCCAATTTAGTGAGAATACAACGGTATATCTGTCATAAAATAACCAACACAATAATAATAGTATATAGCTGTAGTCTGCGACTGCCCATACCTCTGTTTTGTCTGTAGATTTGCTCTATGTTGGTTCTTTGACGTCACATTTGTCTGTAGGTTTGTCTGTATGTTGATCATGTGACTGTGTCACCATACCTTTGTTTTGTCTGTAAGTCTGTCTAAATGTCGGTCCTGTGACATCACACTTGTCTATTTTGTCTGTAGGTCTGTCTACATGTTGGTCCTGTGACATCACATTTGTCTGTAGGTCTGTCTACATGTTGGTCCTGTGACATCACATTTGTCTGTAGGTCTGTCTACATGTTGGTCCTCTGACATCACATTTGTCTGTTTTGTCTGTAGAACTGTCTACACGTTGGTCCTGTGACATCACATTTGTCTGTTTTGTCTGTAGGTCAGTCTACATGTTGGTCCTGTGACATCACATTTGTCTGTTTTGTCTGTCTACATGTTGGTCCTGTGACATCATACTTGTCAATAGATCTGTCTACATGTTGGTCCTGTCACATCATACTTGTCTGTTTTGTCTGTGTGTCTGTCTACATGTTTGTCTTGTGACATCACTTTTGTCTGTTTTGTCTGTAGGTTTGTTTACATGTTGGTCCCGTGACATCACACTTGTCTGTTTTGTCTGTAGGTTCGTCTACATGTTGGTCCTGTGACATTGCACTTGTCTGTTTTGTCTATAGGTCTGTCTACATGTTGGTCCTGTGACATCACATTTGTCTGTTTTGTCTGTAGGTCTGTCTATAGGTTGGTCCTGTGACTGTAACATCACACTTGTCTGTTTTGTCTGTAGGTCTGTCCACATGTTGGTCCTGTGACATCACATTTGTCTGTAGGTCTGTCTACATGTTTGTCCTGTGACCTCACACTTGTCTGTTTTGTCTGTAGATCTGTCTATATGTTGATCCTGTGGTATCACACTTGTCTGTAGGTCTGTCTACAAATTGGTCCTGTGACATCACACTTGTCTGTTTTGTCTGTAGGTCTGTTTTATCTGTAGGTCTGTCTACATGTTGGTCCTGTGACATCACACTTGTCTGTTTTGTCTGTAGGTCTGTCTACATGTTGGTCCTCTGACATCACACTTGTCTGTAGGTCTGTCTACACGTTGGTCCTGTGACATCACATTTGTCTGTTTTGTCTGTAGGTCTGTCTACATATTGGTCTTTTGACATCACATTTGTCTGTAGGTCTGTCTACATGTTGGTTCTGTGACATCACATTTGTCTGTTTTATCTGTAGGTCTGTCTACATGTTGGTTCTGTGACATCACACTTGTCTGTTTTGTCTGTAGGTCTGTTTACATGTTGGTCCTGTGACATCACACTTGTCTGTTTTGTCTGTAGGTCTGTTTTGTCTGTAGGTCTGTCTACATGTTGGTCCTGTGACTGATCCTGACACTAGAGATAAAGCAGAATCTCGGGATGTCATCAAAGAGATGCAGCAATATGTCAGCAAGTACATGCCAAGTCTGGAAAATACACCCTCCATTATCGAAACCTGCATGTATACAGTAAATATTTTCATCATCTTTAACTTTCCAAAGTGTGAACACATTTTCCTTTTTAGAGACTGCTTACTGTACAAATAAGGGTTATTTCCTTTTCTGATTCTATTTAAATCATTCCAAAACTGTAATGAAAGATTCAGTATCATTTTATAGATTCCACATTGTAATGCTTTGGTTTGAACTGTATACTGTAAATAATTAAGTTAGAGCGAAAGGACTAATCAATGAGAGGGGGGCAGCATACAGTAGATGCATTTTTCTGAACAGTAAGAATTTTAGAAACTTTATGCACCTTGAGATTAAGAACTGTATTTACAATGTATTACTTTAAACAAATTGAAGAGCAAATCAACCTCCAATATCCATGCAATTACTGTATGTGTACTTAAAAAAGCGGGCTTCACATTTTAGTGGCTTCAGCGCAGACAACAATGTGCTAATTTATGAGTACCACTAAGAAATCATTTATATATGCAATACACGGCACGGACATGTGTAGCGCTAATTCATGATTAAGTCAACAACTCCATACCCAGTGAATGTGCTAAATTTTGAATACATCAATTTATGTACAAGTACAGTATTTTCCCCTTCAAGTATCATACTGAATAATAAACATGCTTTTCAGAAAAATTCTCCAACGCTCATTTTTCAGAACACTCCTGACCAACAGTTTGTGTTGGACCGCCATCCTGCCTGGAAAAATATAATAATAGGAGCAGGTTTTTCAGGTAAATTCAAATCAACTGGTGGTCAGTGTTCTAAATAAATGACAATAATATCTGTACAAAACTCAGTTAAATAGTTTGATGGAATTTGAGCTTTAGAAATGTTGATATGGAGTTCATCCTTTTATCAGGACATGGTTTCAAACTATCCCCAGTGGTGGGGAAAGTGTTGTGTGAGATGGTAATGGATAGATCTCCTTCATATGACCTTACGCCATGTCGGATAGATCGGCTCTTACATCCTAAGTCACAACTGTAGAACACCTTACTCCATGTCGGATAGATCGGCTCTTACATCCTAAGTCACAGCTTTAGAACACCAGAATAATTTACCCAAGACTACTAGCTCTTTATCATCTCAATACATCATCAAATCCTTGTCTGATGTTCTCACTTTCAAATCTTGGTATATTTTGGCAGCAATGTACAACCATCTTATTTTGTCAAGAATTAGCTCAAATATTTACATTTTAAACCAAGTATATTCCGTGTCAAAGTACATTTGATGTCATCAAAACTGTTTACTGAATTTTAAAAACAGCAAAGACTTGTTTGATTTTGTATCAATTCAAAATAAAATTGCAATTTTTAATTTCCAAGACAAACTGTACCTAGACTGCATCATTGATTTAAAACCTGTACATGTACATGCATATTACTGTAACATTCAAAATAAAATCTTGAAACATTTTAAGTGTTTATTCACATTTAGAATTTATGAATGAAATCTCTATGTTCAATATTACATAGTTTTAACAATTTAAACACAGGATTGTATTCACATTGAACTGCTGAATCAAAAATATAGGTGCACCGTTCTGCCGTAAGATATTGGTGCACCATTATGCCTAAGATAGGCTTAGTTGAAACATTTACTAATACTTGTATGTACTTAATACCCTGACAAATCCCACTTTTAACTATCCCAACTTTTGATAATATTTCACTACAATTTTGTCCTTATAAAGTTTGTTTTCTTCCTCTAAGACCATGTCAATTTATTTTTTTTAAATTTTGGACAGAAGTTCTAGAACTACTATATTGTTTTTCATCACTTTAACAAAGCATAGGTACAAGCTCATCACAGTGACAGGAAATAAATAAATATAGTCGTAGCTGGAGGAGTTCTGGCATCACTCAAACTTCTCCTCAGCATCCACACATCGAGAGTTCTTGAATTTGGAGAATTTTGTGATTATATCCTCTATGCTGTGCTCACCGTGGACCTTGGTTCCTCTAGTACGTACATTCGCCGTCTTGTTTTCTAGCTCCTTTTCACCCACAACTAAAAAAAAATATAACCACCTTAATTTCATTAAAAATACTAATGTTACAATTATATCTACTTTGAGATTCCCCAATTGCAATACAAGTTTTGAGGTTCATTAACCCTCTGATAAGAGAGATAACTCTGACTGGAATTAAAGACTATCATTCATTTACAAAATTTGTCATTTAAAAAGGTATTTCTGTTAAATTTTGCAGTTCAAGGTAAGATAAAAATGTTCTTAATTAAATTAGAATATAGAATTATTAACTTTAAAGCAAATTCTTACACAGTGAACAGTGGGATTGTCAAACCTTAAAATCCTTCATAAAGATCATAAATTGAAACAGCTGACACTATCAAACCATGCAATTATTTAAATTCATTTTAATAAATAAGAACATGTTATTACTAGTTAGAATTTGCTAATTTCCTCTTTCTTAAGTAAGGTGTAAGAAAAACAATGAAAAATCACAGATTTACAACCATGAAAATTCAAAAATATTCCCAATGGACTGTGTCTGTCATAGTTCATTGCATTGAGATCAAATCTACTTGAATTTAAAAAAAAAAAAAAAACTCTCCTTGAATGATGTTTGGACCCTTGAATTCTCAATGAGAGTTTAACATTTTCAAAGTTTTCATGACTCACCCAGAATGAAATTAAACTGAGCTAACTGTCCATTCCTGACCTTCTTGTTAAGTGTGTTGCCATCGTCTACGTCAGCTTCACACATAAAGCCAGCATAATGTAACTGATTTCGAACCTAAAAACACACAAGTATATGTACATGTAATTACATTTAATGTTATCCCAGCATCATGCCAGTGATGTCAAACCTATAATGACATACATGTGTGTTTTAGATTCAAGTCTATTCTGCAATGTATTCAATATTAAGAAAAATGAAAAATTATCTCTTTTTCTGATGATCTTATGGAACATAAATTCTTTAGACAGATAACTGAAGTCTTTATCATCTCAATCTTCTAAACTGAAAATATTTATTTAAAGTTTATTTCAATTAAAAAGTATTTGACTCTAAACATTTTATTCATGGAAGAAAATAGTCTCTGTAACTCTTTACCTGAATAGCATAATCATTAAAAGGTGGAGCCACTGGGATAACAATACACTGCCGAGGGGACAACCAGAATGGCCTAAAAAGTCACAGTATTACATCAATTGCTATACTAAAGAAGACCCTTATCTCAAAAACAAGAGATGTTTGTGAAACACTTATGCCCCCCCCCCCCCCCCCAATAATTGGAATTTTTTCTAAGTCCAAGGGGCATAACTCTGTCAAAAATTGCTCTATCATACCCAAAACAGATTCTTATGATAAATCTGTATACCAAATTCCATTTCAGTATGTGCAACCTCTGTGAAGAAAATGAACAGAAACTGTTGGTGGACCAACAGACAGACAGACCGACCAACAGACAGCAGCAATAAAGAAGGGGGCAAAAATATATAACAAATCTATATCTTGATTTCCATACTACAGTCAGATAATGTGGATATATTGTAATGTTAATAAAGACACCCAGACTTTACAGTCAGATAATGTGGATATATTGTAACGTTAATAAAGACACCCAGACTTTTTCTGATGAGATGGTTGAGAGATGGAGGTACATTACCATTTCCCTCCGTAATTTTCACACAGAATGGCAATCATCCTCTCTACCGACCCTAGGACAGCTCTATGAATGATGACTGGTCTCTTCTTCTCCCCCTCCTCCCCTCCACTACAACAGCGTACAGTATTATTACAACCACATTAAAATCATAGGAGTACTTGTATATAAATGATTGTCAATTAATACTAATCAAATGTAAATACAGAATCTCTCTTGTATAAGATTTTCTCTTGTTTAAGTATTTAAAACATAGAATCTATAATTAACTATCAATTGAATACATGTACAAGTACATGTATATGGCTGATTCTGCATTGGAGAATTACACATGTACAGTATTTCCTTAAAAATCAAAAAAGTTTGCACAATTGTAGAATAAATCAAAGATTGCAGACAAAAATTGTTATATATAATACCTTCTAATGATTAATTTTGCAGCTTAATTGCATACGATCCCAAAAAAAAAATTGAAGAATACTTAATTACATGTACCTGACATAATGAAGATCAAAGCGGATAGGTAACTGGAAATCTAGTTGTATCGTGGCACATTGATGGGGCCTCCTCAGGGCATCCATGATGATAATGTCAATCTGTATATGTAAAATTTTTATGAAATCAAAAAAAATAGCATAAACACAGTTCTTGCCTAAAGGAGTTCCTATATAAGTAATAAAATTCTCAGCATCACCAGCTGTACCTTGGGTCCATAGAATGCACCATCTCCTGGATTCAGCTCCCACTTGTACCCCGAGGCATCTAGACTCTCTGACAGTTGCTGAAACATAAAGGAAATTTGCTATATACATTTTTGCATATAATGGGTCATTTCTGTGGAACTTTGGAGTTCAGTCAAAATCACAAAATATAGTAGAAATATTTCAAGCCATATCCATGATACTGTAGATTGAATGCAATAATACTTGTATTCACAAACTGCAAACACAGAAATCAGACTGATAACAATTTTACAACTTGTTATGCAAAATGATTTTTTCTGAAGAATCAAATACGAATTAAAATAGGAATTTCTTTCAAAGGATATATATGTATCATTTTAAAAGCTGACCAATCTCTGTAGAGGACAAAAAGCTAGATTCACTTTATGTATAAAATAGCCCTGTTGGTAAACCAATTAATTGACTAATACCCTGTGTCCCATTTCAAACATCAATAATAAAATAGAGGTGGAATAAAGAACTGTGGCCCGTTTTACAAAAGAACTTACGACTAAGACCAAAAATTTAAGTTGATTGTAAAATTTTGCAAAATCAATGATTCTGTTTAAAATTGCTAGCGTAAAAATAACTACTACATTCCTTTTAAAAAGATCAAAACCATTTTCAATATAATGAAAATTAAAAAGTTATAAGCAGAATTAAATTTTGGTCTTAGTCGTAAGTTATTTTGTAAAACGGGCCCCTGGATAGAAGCATAGTGCTTTCATTTCCTATTACAAAATTCTCTCTGAGAGTCCAAGTATTGGAAAACAGACTTTGAGTAATTAAATATTTCTGAATTTTGCAGAAAAGATGTGTACTTGAGTACCTTTAGCAAAGATTTTAAGTATGAGTACATCCCTTGATCCAAAAAATAAAACGTGTTTTATAATCTTCAAAAACAGTTCTATCATAATGTAAATGCACATTTTGGATCAGATGTTGTGCTCTATATAAAATTTTACAAAACAGCTTTTTTTTGGCCAGTTTGGAAGAAATTATCAAGATATGGGTAAAAAGACATAATTCATGATGTCATTAACTAGCGAAAAAATTGACTCAATTTTAATAGATATGCTGTCATCAAGGGCCCAAGTGATGTTTAATGCATATTCAACTAAAACCGAGCATTTCCAATTTTTCACAGGGCTAAAAAGGCCCTATGTGAACCTTGCTCTTTTGAAAATGACCCATTCCTTAGTTTATACAATCATGTAGACTTAGGTAGATTATAACTCAATCTATCCAAATAAAAGAACTTAATGTTGTCTTTAGAGGTTGCCTTTCTTGTTCTTTTCTACTCTAGCATATCTTTACCATATGTCTTACATCCTGGTATCCTAAAGATAGTTTTCAATGTAACCTACCTTTTCTGCTGTGTCCCACATCTCGATTTCCCCGAGATATTTCTCTGGCCTGGTGGACAGGTACAATTTGAAGGTGAAGCCAAACACATCATACACAGCCTTTAGAAAATCTAAACATCCAGCCATTTCTTCCTTGATCTAGAAAAAAAAACCACCACAAAATCTGCAAAAACTACACAGGATTGATACCAATATTTTTTAAAGGAAAGTTAACATTTAATTACATGAACAATTAGGATGTAATTAATGAATGATTTATACAACTCTGAGGATTAAGTTGATCACCATGTCCCCCTTTAGGAATGTTTTCTGTAAAATCCTCTTTACTCATGTGCATCTGACAGATGTTGAAATCATGATAATAAAGAACAATAGCCAAAGTACCAACATTATAAAATTCGTGTTTTTGGGGTTCAAGGCTGATCATATAGGAAATGCATTATGTTTTTTTATAATTTGTCTCCTTTTCTGTCTCTCTTTACCTATATTTTTTAAATTTTTTTTCTAAAGGTTAAAAGCAATAACTAAATTTTCAATGAAACCCCCTTTTTTTTTTAAAAGTGCTGTAAACCAACGTTTATTTGCATGCGAGAAATATCCGCAAGTTTTGAGACCTATTTAACTTGCTAATATTAATCGCCGCTTATTCTTTGTTATTTATTTTGCTCTGTATTTGTAAAGAATGTTTCCTCA